GAGTAGAATATTTTAACTAAAATCACAGTATACTTAATAGTAGAAGATAATAAAAATTCAAATCGTAGAAACAATTGTAATTAAGCCATTTTTCAAACTTTTACTATTTTTGCTAATTATCATTCAAACTTAACAAAGCTTAACTTACGATTAGCTTAACTTAGCAATCATCATCATCATCATCATTACGGCCTTTCATAAGTCCACTGCTGAACATAGGCCAATATTTTTTAGCAATATTTTTTTGGAATGATAACGAAAGTTTACTGGGTGTAAAATTATTTGAAATCAGATCTTTTGCGTAAGTTATACTTGATTTTTGACCCGTCAGAATATGGTTTCAATGATAATTAAGGGTTATATTAATAAGCTATTCTATGGCCTTAACCTTATATACTTGGGAAATATTTTGATGGTCTCTCGGAGATTTTCTTTATTGAAAACTGGAGCGGATGGGAATTGCCGAGAGAGAGTGCAAAAATTGATTTAGTGGGTTTGCTAATGTACATCTACATTAAGAATTTAAGGCACCTAAATAACTAACATAAAACCTAAAATAAATAACAGTTTGTATTTTGCCAGCTTAAATGCCACCAATATGATGAATTTGAGTCTTTCTAGCTCTTTTAAAAAAATTGTAATATTTTCGACCTAGTCAAATATACCTAGATTTCAATATTAAATTACCAAATAAGCTTTAAAACATTCTTAAAACTATATACTTGTAAAGTAGATAGTAAAAAAATCTTAATGGCATACATACATTTACACGGAATAAAACACAAAATAAGAAAACAATTTAAATTACAAAATGTTAAAAAAGTGGTACAATAACTTAATCTTTCTTCTTCTTCTTCTGGTGCCTCTACTACTACTAGCGAAGGTTGGCAGTACGCTTTATTCTTCGTGAGGCGAAACAGTTCGGCGGCACTCGCTATTCATACTTTCCACTCTCGAATGTTGCCGGAAAAAGAGGCGACGGTCGCAGAAAAATGTCATGGTTATGTAACTTTATCTTTAATCTTAGTTTATTTCAGATAAGCTTTTATCTTTAGTATCTTTAAAATTATACCTCTTAACCTATATTATCACTTAAATTATTACCCTGTTATAGAAAAAGCATTGCAAAAAGGGGAACACAGCAGCACAGGATCACAGTGCCTAAGCGTATTCAAAATGGATACTGTTGCGCATAAACATTTACATATATAGTCGGTAAAAAACCACAACGCAGTTAACTAATTACAACAAAAGTATTGTTTATTAGCAAATAATAAAAACCTTCTTCAGACTGAAATAAACGGCAAAATATAAAATCTAGAATTGAATCAATAAAAAACGATAGTGGGCAAATTATTACAGAATCTCAAAAAATTGCAAGAAGTTTTAATGATTTTTTCTGCAATATAGCACATAGATTAACGATTAATTTAGAAATTGACGCAGAAAATTGCATGAAATATTTAGATTACTCCAATAGGCCACTAACATCTATTTATTTACCCATTAGATTATACAGAGCTAAAGAACATTGTTAATAGCATGAAGCAAAAATCTACATTAGACATTTATAATATGAGCACTAGGACATTAAGAAATCTTATTAGAAAGAACAATAATTTATTCGAATTGATATTTATTGTTGTCAACTCGTGCTTAGCTAATGGCATATTCCCCGACGTACTCAAACCAGGTAGGGTTGTTCCACTTTTCAAAAAAGGGGATTCCACAGAGCTCAGTAATTACAGGCCAGTTTGTATATTGCCGGCTTTATCAAAAATATTAGAAGCCATCATAAAATCTAGAATTATAAGGTACTTTGAAGAAAATCATTTATTTACAACGGCACAATTTGGATTTAGAAGAGGAAGATTGACCGAAATGGCCATAAGAAAAGTAATTTATTTCATTCTAGAATCTTTGGACAGCTCGAATAGATGTGCCAGTATTTTTTGTGACTTATCAAAGGCTTTTGATTGCTTAAGGCATGATGTATTATTATTAAAATTGCAGCATTATGGTTTTCAAGGAGCTGAACTGCATATGATGAAAACTTATTTAAATAACCGTAGCCAAGTTGTTTCAGTAAATGACCAAACTTCTTCAGTGAGTTTTGTATCGATCGGAGTACCACAGGGTTCAATTTTGGGTCCTGTTTTGTTCTTGATCTATATTAATGATCTTGGTAATGCAATGCCAGACTATACATATTTAAGTCTATTTGCAGATGATACACATGTAGGTTTAAGAGACAAAAGTCTATCAAATTTAGAAAACAAAATTAATAATGTTATATGCTTGCTAAAAGAATGGTTTAGCGCAAATGGTATTATTCTAAATTCCGATAAAAGCATTGTAATGCATTATCAATCGAGGCTAGGCATTTATGGTAACTCGGCTACAAAAAAAATGTATTTTTAGGGTATACAGTAGATAACACAATCAACCATAAAGCCCACATAGAAAAAATTTGTAAGAAAATATTTAGCGGTAATTATGCATTGTTTAAACTCAAGCCATTACTAGATAAAAAGACACTCATATCTGTGTACTATGCCTATATTCATTCAATAATAAGGTATACCATTACTATTTGGGGTAATGCTACGGATATTATAAAAGTTTTAAAATGTCAAAAACAGTCTATAAGAATAATCAATGGTCTGAAAAAAAGTAGTCCGGCAAGAAAACATTTTAAGAACGATAAAATAATGACAGTGGTTTCGCTTTATATATATAATAGTTTATTAGAGGTACACGAGGATAAGGAAATACCAAAAAAGAAAGACGTAAATCAATACAATCTGCGTTATAATGAAAAACGTGTTCTACCAATGAATAGATTAATCAAAGTAAAAAAACAAGGGCGTTACTCAAAAATATTGATGTATAATAAATTACCAAAAAGTATAACCAGCCTAAACTATAGCATATTTAAACGAAAACTTAAGTATTTTTTTGAAAATAACCCAATTTACAAATTAAGCGAATACATGTCAATGCAACTCTTGGAATCATCATTCTTGTGCAAAGTGCAAACAAAATAACTTACCTAATTCTATTACTAATTCTATTACCTAGTACAATAATGTAATTAAATAATGTAATTTAACCTTATAAATTTAAGAACTTTTGTAACCAATGACTTGCCTGTAACGATTGTTATATTATTTATTTATTTATTTTATTAGGCTCTCACAACAATGAGTACACTGTTACATACATATGGAATGGCATCACAATTATTAAAACTAAATGTCCCATTACTTATAGGAGGGCACCACATGCATAAAAAAGAGGCTTTACGTTGATTGTACAACAGTACATAGGTACAATTTAACTCCAATAAAATTTTAATTTAAATTAATAATGAAGAAACTTCCATTACAACTTAGCCTTAATCGCCGATAACTACTTTTTTGATGACAGCCATCGAGGTTGAGAATAGATCTATTCTGCTTTGGTATTCTTTATATAATGCAAACATTCTTGTTAAGGAACAATGTGATCTTAAATTAGTTCGACCTTGAGGTGCAACAAATAATTATGGCCAATAAATATTTCTGATTCTGATTCTGATTCTGATATTCCATAACAACTATGGAAGAGCGTGGTGTTTCCCCCGTCTTTCTATTTTCTTATTAATTGTAAAGTAATAACCTACATATGTCTGGGCACAGGCCAATTTATGAGATAATTTTAGTTACGGAAGCGTCCGCCGGGCTACCTCAATGCCAGTTAGCGAAATTTAAACATCATGGAAATATTTATAACTTCTAAAACGTGCAGGTTTTCCTTCAATATCTTTTACCGAAGAATCCGTATGTCACCAAAGATCGAAATCGTCATCGAACCATCAAATTTACAATGCTCACTACGAAATAGTTACTATTAAAACCAATTGTACGAGTACGCTAATGCCAGAAGTAACATAAATATTTAAACAGTTAGACTATTCACCCGCGAACCATTTGACCTCTTACCTAAAATAACTATCACGTAGCATTGATTTAAAGGGTAGATGCACAGACCGCGGCCCGCGAGCCGCATGCGGCCCGCCGGTCGAATACTGGTGGCCCTCCGACAGCAAAAATAATACTCTCGTACATTCGAAAAATATTAAATTATAATCCAGAATAAAACCAAAAAAAAAATATGTTTGAAAAGTAATTTGAATCTCTCTCTCTCTCTTAAGTGCGCTTATAGGTGTGCCGTGCATGCGTCGGTAAAAGCGGTCGGTAATGTTCGTGCTGATCTCGGTTATATTCGTTTTCTTGAGGAACCACCGTGGCCGGCGGCGCGGTGGCGGCTTATCCACGGGTTATATTGTTAGAGCAAGCGAGATAGCAATAGTCCCGAATTCCCGATTGCTCGCGTAGGTAGATACACGAAGCTTCCAGTTGTCACGAAGCTTTCAGTCAAGTGCCGTGTATAATTGTGTTGTGAAATCGTGAGTAAAACTCTGTTATTAATAAGTGTTTCTCTACCTATTTAATCAATTATTTTTGGTAATTTAAAAAAGGATGGGTAATTTAAGTTAGGTACTGTAATTGTTTTTAGGTGCTGTGTTAATCCTAGCCAGGATTAGAACGCTACATTAACAAGTCAGGACCTAGTAAAAAACGTAAGGTTAAAGATGAAAATCGCAGTTTCAAGAAATTTGGACTGAGAAATACTTTTTTGTATGGTCGCATAACAAAGTCTTTTGTTTAATTTGCAAGAATTCTGTTGCGATTGCAAAGGAATATAATGTAAAAAGGCACTATGAAACGCAGCATCCTACTTTTACCAAGTTTACGGGCGAATTAAGAAAGCAAAAAATGTTGTCTTTAAACCGGAAGCTTATTGGTCAGCAAGCTACCTATGTTTACAAAACCCATTCAAGATTCAGAAACAGCTACAGAAGTTAGTTATGAAATTTCTCGAATGATAGCAAAGCGAAGTCGCCCCTTCTGTGATGGGGTTTTGTAAAAGAATGCATACAAATTGCCGCTAAGAAAATGTGTCCAGAAGCAGCAAAAAAGTTTGAGAAAATTCAACTGAATCGTATGACTCTCCAAAGACGAATTATGTCTTTGTCAGGTAATATTGTGGAACAATTAAATGAAAAAACTAAGATTATTGAATTTTTTTCATTAGCACTCGACGAATCCACTGATATTAGTTCCACAGCTCAACTTCTGATATTCATACGAGGTGTTACTCAAGATTTTGAAGTCTTAGAAGAGTTATTAGGAATGTGTTCATTGAAAGGTCAAACCAGAGGAGTTGATATACTCAATGTACTTTTGGATGAGTGTTCAAAAACTGATTTGGACTTACAAAAATTATTGGGAGTTGCCACTGACGGTGCTCCTTCGATGATTGGTGTCAATTCTGGGCTAGTTACTTTGCTGAAAAAGCATCTTCAAGAAAAAAACATAAACGCTGAAGATCTCATGCAGTTTTACCGCATTATACACTAAGAAGCACTCTGTTCTAAAAAAATTGAATTTCAAAATGTCATGAAAGTGATAGTTTCGACTGTAAATTTCATAAAATCACGAGGACTCAATCACAGGCAATTCAAACAATTCCTTGATGAAATCGAAAGCGACTATGGAGATTTACTGTATTATACAGAAGTAAGGTGTTTTTAAAACATGCTTATTTTTGGAAGTTTCTTTCATACTTCTAAACGTATTTTAGGCCATGAAAATAATATGAGGATGGAATAAACAAATTGTTTCCGTGAAGCAATATAAATGGAAGGATATTACTTTCTTGCGCTCTTGCTATTACTTATTCACAGCGTTTGTTTTCATTTCAAATGTCAAATTTTCTAAGTTAAATATGAACGATAAAATATAACACGCTGTTTACGATGTTCAAGTTTTGTGGGACCTTGTGTATCATTTATTGCTATAGATATTTGTCTAAGTAAGAAAAATGTTAATTTATGATAAAATACATGAAGGCTAAAATACATCTACTTTGATTTTTTTATAGTTCCATGAATATGAATACGTTGCTAACAGATACTCATAATATTTATAAGGCATTTTTGTAAAGTAGTCAGGGTTCTTATATTTAATTAAGTATCCCGACTAGAACATTACTATTTACATAACAGTTCCTACTTACCGTGTTTGCTTGGTTAATTGTTTTTATTTTATATTTTCAACGCCTGCAAAAGTTAATAAGTGATGAGTAACATATGTGTTGTTTAGTATGCGTAGTACACTTAGTGAACAATTAAATACAGTCAATTTTGTTACTTATTAGGAGGCCTGTAGAATTGACAACCTGGGGTAGAAAGGATATCCCCCCCCCCCCCCGTGATGAAGTGACGTCTCTTAATAACGCGTTATTTACGCTAAGATTTTAACGCGAATGGCCTCAGAAACCAAAAGTTCGCGCTTTTCCTGTGAAACCATAATGTAGGCGTCATGCTAGTAAGACACTTTTTTGAAGCAGAGCCATCGCAATCCTTACATCACAAACTACATCTTAGTTAGAAATTATAGGTTGACCGGTCTCAAAGGTGGCACCTTGATCTACTACAAAAGGTCCTTGCACTGTGTACCGATCGACGCTCCGCCTCTAATAAACATAGAAGTGTCAATTTTTAGGATAAGTCTGTCTGGCCATCCGACACTAACCGGAAGCTCGAGGTCAAACTCTTGTCTTAGACCTCCCAGAACTTAGATAAAATCCCCAAAAATATAGACCATAGGTAGCCAATGAGGCGATTAGCGCCCTATCGGCCTAACCTCAACTCAGCGTTCGAATATTGCTCTTGTAAGATTCGGCTGTCAAGCAATCAACACACGGAGTTTCCGAGAGACATTCGGCAGCGGATCAGAGTAAAAAATACGACCCTAAGATACTACAACCTCTATTGCACAATAGATGATAAATTTCGACTCGGTAACCTCCAAAACGAGGAAAATCAGCACATAACCGATATTAGGCACGGCAAATGGGACAACCTGCTGGAGTAAATCGAACCATCGCACACCAGCTACTGGCGGTTTCCCCGAGCTCTAAAAACGGAGCAAACTACACCCATGTTGCCTCTCATTAGGCCAGGAAACCCTGATCTCGCCTTTGACGTCTCTGAAAAGGCCGAATGCCTCGGGGACACTTTAGAGAACTGCATTCCCACTAACGAACCAATAGATCCCGCCTACGTTCTGGGTTCAAAGCTGAGGTATAGCGTAAGTCTGCAATATCACCTACGGGCGATCCCTTAGATCCTGTGACTGTTAAAAAAGTCACAGAGGTCATCAAAAGTCTCATAAAGAAATCAGCACACGGCGCCGATGGCATAAGAAACAGGTTGTTGAAATCGCTCTTCGCGCCGCTCGTATATATCCTAGAAGGCATTTTCAAATCTCTTCTTTCCAGCTACTCCTTCCCGGATCCTGGAAAAAGGGCAAATGTAATAGGAATCCTAAAACCGGGGATACTGTAAAACTTATCCTTCAGTTACCAGTCTCTCAGTATACTGGGGAAAGTTTACGAGCGACTCTTATTGAATCGCCTACTTAAATACGTCTTCGCAAATAAGCTGCTTCCCGACGTGCAGTTCGGCATCAGACTCGAATCATCGTGCTCGTGCCTCGTGCATCGATCAGCTATATCGCCTTACAGAGTAGAGTATAAAAAGATTCAATCTCCCAAAAAAGCCTTAGGACCACTAGCATCATCACACTCTGCTTCAAAAGCGTTTGACAAACATTTGCACGAAGGCTTACGTTACAAATTGTATAAACTCAACGTGCCTGATAGATTACTCACATTATCAGAGCCTTCCTTGCCAACCGGGATTTTCGCTATCGAATAGAGGGCACTCGATCTCCGAAACGCCTCCTCAAGGGTGGAGTCAGTCAGGGCTCAGTCCTCTCCCCACTTCTTTTTACAGTCTTCACGAGTGACTACCGCAGGTCCCAGTAGTTAATACTGCTGCCTTCGCCGATAACACGGTACTTTTCTTCGCCCAAACAACAAATAATACTCACCAAGTTTCTCCAAACATCCATCAACCACTTAGGCGATTGGTTCCGCTTATGGAGAATCGAAGTGAATCCTGAGAAAAGTGTAGCAATATACTTTCCAAGGAACCCTTTGCTCAATCGTGAAAAAAAATCGTTAAGTACGATCACCCTTTACGGCCGCGAGATCCCCCGGCAATCAACGGCCAAATACCTATGGGTCACATTTGAACACGGCATGACCTTCGCGAAACACATTCGCAATGTCCGCAACCGTCCCAAATTCATTACTTGTCGCCTCCACCCGCTAGTTAACAGCAAGAGCAATCTGTTTTTAAGACACAATCTCCATCTCTACAAAAAATGCATAAGACCTGTCATGTCATATGCTAGCGTAGCTTTCACCCACGCGTCCTAATCTATTTTGTACAGCCTCCAAATTGTCCAAAATAGCTTCATACGAAAAGTTACCGAAGAATTGAATAGAATAGAATATAATATTTTTTTTATTCAATATCGATTATTACATAATTCTTATTGAAAGTCATTTTTTATCTACCACTGGTTCGGAAAATACCTCTGTCCTGGGAAGAACCAGCAAGAAACCCAGCGGGACTTTTTTTTTCAAACATAATTTCGTTTATACAATTTTTAAATAATTTTTCATAGAACCAGCATGGTCGCCACCTTATTCCCAGGGGTTATTTTCATTCATGTATTCCTTGATATTATAATAACCTTTTTTGTACAGTTTTTCTTTAATAAGACTTTTAACTTGTTTATTGACAAACTTTGAATATGTTCTGGGATTTTGTTGTAAAAGCGTATACATTGCCCCATAAGTGAATTAATGATTCTGTGGAGTCTAGTAACTGGTATTACAAGCTTATGTTTGTTCCTAGTGTTTAAAGTATGCACATCCTTATTCTTATTAAAGCTATTTATGTTTTTATGTACATACATTACATTTTCATAAATATATTGCGATGCCAAAGTAAATATGTTTATATCTTTAAATTTTAGTCTGAGGGACTCTTTACAATTTAAGCTGTAAATCGCCCGAACGGCTCTCTTTTGCAAAACAAATATAGCTTCAATATCAGTCGCATTACCCCATAGTAAAATTCCATAAGACATTACGCTATGAAAGTAACTAAAATACAATAATATAGCTGTCTCAACATCTTTGAGACTTCTAATCTTTCTTACAGCATATGCTGCAGAACTAAGTCTGCTTGCTAATTTAGATATATGGGGGCCCCATTGAAGTTTCGCGTCAATAGTAATACCGAGAAAAACAGTGGTATCCACAAGACTCAACTCCTTCCCATTTAACAGCACATTGGTATTCGAATGTTTTACATTAGGTATTGTAAATTTAATACACTTTGTCTTATTGCCGTTTAAGAGCATATTGTTGGCTTTAAACCAATGTACTAATTTTGATAGAGCATTATTTACATCGTTATAATTAATTAACTGCCGTTTGAGTTTGAAAATTAAAGAGGTATCGTCAGCAAATAATACTATATCGTGATTGTCCCCAACAAGATAAGGTAAGTCATTAATATAGATTAAAAACAGGAATGGGCCAAGAATCGAGCCCTGAGGAACGCCCAATGACACTACCGATCCGAAGGAACCATTTTTTTGAGTTCTGTTAATTAAATATGAAGTAATAAGTCTAAGCGCCAAATTTTTTACACCGTAATATTGTAGTTTCCTGATTAATGTCTCATGATGAACACAATCGAAAGCCTTGGAAAGATCACAGAAAACACCTAAGGCATCTTGTGAATTCTCCCAGGCATTAAAAATATATTTCATAAGCTCAATACCTGCGTCAGACGTCAAGTGGCCCCTTGTAAAACCAAATTGGTTTTTATGAAGTAATTTATTTGTATTGAAAAAAATTAACAATTGATCCAAAATTATTTTTTCAAAAATTTTACTACTATTACTTACTAAAATTAGCGGAGTCCAATGTACTACCAGATTTTAATAAAGGTATTACATTACTATACTTCATTAAATCAGGAAACACACCAGAATCGATACAAGTATTAAAAATAATAGCAAGATGAGGTGCAATTAAATCTATTATGGACGCAATAACTGTCACGGAAATCCCCCACAAATCTGCGGTTTTCTTTACATCAATGGTTTTGAAGTATTTTACAATATCTTGCGGTAATACTTTTTCAAATTTAATTTCTTCTAAACAGGTATTAACATTCTGTTTGAGTAATGACTCGGCGACAGTTAGAGAAGTATTCAATGACTCTGTTGTCAAGATAGGAATATCAGTGAAATATTTCTCAAACACCGCTGCGACTTCTTGATTTGATTTAGTCAATTCATTGTTAATTTTTAATTGATAGTTTGAGTAACGAGGTTTTTCTTTACCGGTTTCGCTGTTAATTATACTCTACGTCATTTTAATTTTATTCTCAGCCGTCTTAATTTTATTGCTAATACGAGTATGTAAC